TAGTAGAAGCATTTTCCCACACTTTCAGCACAATTATTGGTGTGCGCATTATGGATGAAGGCGTATTATACATGGAGAAATGCGGTAATTAGTCTCCAAGCTTAACAGAAGAATCGTGATGAAATCGATCATAAAAAAATAGCATGCTCATCATTAATGAATCATACCTAAGAACCCGAAGCTCCTGAAGGGTTGAAATGAATTTCAAATATATATTTATTATTCCAGGATAATATTCCAGCATATTCAAGATGATCTACACCCTCACCTAACCATTCTAATTTTCTTTCCTGCAGTAACAAGTTGCATCACACGTTTCACATACGATTTCATTTTCAAGTCTTTTTTCACTGATCTTTGGACTGTCATAGCTGAAACTCCTCTCTCATTGACAAACGACTCCTGGATTGAGTTGCATCTTTTCTAATTGATCACTTTAGCTCTAAGTTGAAACGATGATCCCTCGTCCTGTTGTTGCCCCATGATCCAATTTTCCTCTCTACTGTACCCTCCTTTTTTAAACTTATTCACCGAAATCATCAAATAATTTAGTATATTTGAAGTGTGATAGATAGATGGGCAAACGGAAATCACAGAATTTTTTACTCAGATACTTAAATATATACCTGTAAAAGCACAGTAAAAAGGAACAAAATAGACAAATCTATCGCCTTTCGTTCTCTGATGTAAATTTTTTCTATTGAAATAACTATAGAACAGCGAGAGAATGCAACGGTCCGTTTGTGGGAGAGTGGTTGTAGGTATGAAAATAATTAATCGCCCACATAGCCGTCTAGATGCTTATCACGACTGGAAAGTGACGACTGGGTAACACCTGTCCCGACATGGCAAAAATTCTCGCTATTCTCTCTGATCTAGTTCTTGTAAAGGAAGGAAGAAGAAGTATTCGGTTGGCGCAAAAATAATGACGTATTAATGTCGTTTTTTGACTTTAAAAATACGTCAAAAAACGGCATTATTACGTCATTATTTTTCCACCAAATAACGTATATGAGTTCCACTTGAGATTTGGAGACAGCTTGTCCTAATAGGCGTTCAAGACAAAGAGCTTTCTTCTGTCGAGAGCAGCCGTTCATTGCGATATGCGAGTATTGAGTGGCTACTTCTCGCTTTCTATCTAGCTAGATAGATATATAGATAAAGAAAATGCTGAAATACATAGACTTATTGGTTTCCGATCCCTTCTAAAGTCAATTTTTACTGATAACGTCTCCACCTGAACTCTGAAATTTTATTTGCAAATTAAACCATAACCTGTTCAAGTCTAGAATAATCAGACCATCTTTCCTATTACCTTGGGCTTTCTTACACTAATATAACTCCACACAGTAATCCTCTACCTTGAGTGAACCTTGGGCCATGTATTAGGTGAGCAATAGCATATATATTTATATATATATATATATATATATATATATATATATATATATATATATATATATATCGAAACAATTTCTATTATAGTGAAATGTTTTAAGTGA